TATATATGGACATGGTGATGTCATATTACTCCCAAATATGGGCATATCACACTGATTTGTTACACAAAACTTGAGAGTGCGGGTAAAATTAATTAGTGTTTAATATCAACTACAGTTGTCATTTTAACATTGTGTTGTATTTGGCAGAAACATGTGACATGTGTAAATATGGTCATAATGACATCACATCATGACCATATATAGGCACATCATGACTATAAGAATATAACTGTCAGAGCTTTAAAAAAGGTACATCCTCCATAAAACATGCGACAACAAATTAATCTCACTGGAAAATTGGAAGTTGAAAAAAAAAAATTCTCTGATATACATACTTGGAAAAGACCAATTGCAATACCAAGAGCACCGATCTGGAACAAATATTTGTCGAAATCATCCTTCAAAGCTTGTTTGCAGCCCTTCGAAAAAATGACAGTCGAAGTTAAAGCAGATATTACATCCAGCTGATCACAATGCATACAAAGATATACAAAACACAAACTTATTAAATGTCCAAATAGTTTCCAAAAAAGATTGTATATTATACTATCTTCTTCTTATCGTGTCCATAGAAACCTATGCTGAATTATAACTGTAAGGGCGGACTCTAGCAAGGACCCACACTGCTCTAGTCTAGGCACGATGACAATGGTGAAACACAAGTCACTTAGAACTGGCATAACCCAGAGCCGCGAGCTTCCACCATGACTACTAGTAATTAGGGAGCTTTTGATAGCACGACGATGGTAGGACATAGAACAAAGGTCGTAATGGTTCTGCGCATGCGAGAACGTTATCCTCATCGCGTGAATTCTAGGACGCAATTTGGCCAAATCTACATATGCAGAGAACGTAGGACGCCCAGTAGAAGGGTCATGTATGAGTGATTCCATTCTAGCATTGAGTTGTCATGCAAAACCGAACACTCACTATTGTTGTTAAAGAACCCACTTTCCACCGGACTGAAACAGGTGATACGGAAAACTTTTTGTTTTGTAGCAATTGCAACAAAACAACAATAATAATATTATCACCGACTAAATAATAAACTTACAGTTGTATAAACACTAGGATTAGGTATACTTAAAACACCATCTCCACAGTCCGCACTCATATCGTCACCCTTACAACAACTTGCTGGAACACTGTTCATGTTGCCATACAACATGGTTACATTCCAGTCAGTGTAGTTGCTGACACCACAGCACATCTCCTGCAATTAACAAAACCATGAAAGTTTATCTATTTCATTATCCATGAACAATATATATATATATATATATATGAAAAATAATATAATATATTTAGTACTTGTTCATTTATTTTAAAGATACACAGGCTGCTTTAAAATCTGGAAAACACAATTCAATTCAATTCCCAAAACACCCATCTCACAACATCGGTCATCTTGGAAGCAGCAAGAACACCTCTAACTACATCTAAAACCATTAATCCAAGAGGTTAAAATGGCCACTATTCTGGACCGTAATAATAGGCACAGAAACATTTCCGACCCCATAACCACAGGTCCTTAGTTGACACTTACGAGTCCCCAAGCTGAGACATCCCGCATTTGCCCCTGCAAGTTTCACTTGTTGCTTGTCTCTTTTACTATTATTTTTATCGTACTTTTAAGTTTATCTTAAAGTCGAATAAAAGGTGAGTCGAATGGCCGAGCGGTTAGCAGGGACGCCACAAGCTATAGCCATAATATCGGCGCTGGTTCGAACGGCACGCTCGCCTATGGTTCTGGTGGTAGAACAAGTCTTCTCAGATAAGGACTATAAACCGTAGGCCCAGTGTATACAATGGCTCGTGTGCACTATAAAGAACCCAGTACATCTTTCGAGACGAGTAGGGGGTTACCCCGGTGTACTGGAACAGACAGCCCCTGTGGTGGACGACGAGAGTTGCTGGTACCGGGTTACCAGGTAGCATAGACACGAAGGGACCCTTAGGGGCGAAGAAAGTCATTGGTCGAGTTCCTAGTCCACATTTCAAGCGCCCTGATCATCTTACATTAGATGGATATGTGCGCTATATAAAACTACACTATTATTATTATTATTATTATTATTATCACTGCTATATATCTGTTGTGCACAACACTGGGTTACATTGAAATTGTGTAGGTCAACACAGCATGTGCTGGCCCCTAATTACTCCTACCTTTTAAGATCACAATTTGTTTAACACGTTGACTGATAAACTTTTTTTATCGGTTCCTTCCCGAGTGCCAGAACAAGTATACAAGTACAAACATACTTTTTTGAAATTCTACCTAGTCATATTTCATCAAAATGGTGTGTCTAATAAATTGGCGGAAAAATATTAGGGGAAAAGTAAAACTCGTCGCCGGAACAGCATTTTTTATAATCTCTGCCAAGTGCGAGTTTTCTCGTTCGCTTTTTGCATGGGTTCACATATGTTCTGAGGGTGCCCCCACTTGTGCAATCGAGTGTACAGCTGGCAAGATAACAAACATACATCTGTTATTTGTAAGCCATTGTCTAGGTGTATTTTCCTGAACTACCAGTTGTTAAGTCTGTGGTTCTACAATGCACAAAAAAGACGTAATCTCCTCGGCTGTCCATCCTTTTTTATTCTGACCAAATTATTGACTACAGTGTAGCTTTATTATTCATATGTATATTTTATGATGATCTAATTTGATGACTTGATGATCTAATTTGTGTATATGTAAATTAACTGGCTCGTGTCCTAACACTCTCTAAGCGGTTCACCCATATTACGCCAATATAAAATATTCATCACTGGCTTCTAGTTGATAAGCGCATCATTTTTAAAATTCCTCTCACTCAAAAAATCTATCCATGGTCATGCTCCAATAAATCTTTGTTCCATTATTGACAAACATGTTCCTTGCCGTTTTACTCGTTCTTCTCAGTCCCTCCAACTTATTACTCCACGTGTCAAGCAAATTCTTACTGGTGAATGCTCCTTTTCCTTTTCTGCTCCCACAATTACGTATCATCTCTGATCCCGATTTATTCAAATCCAATCTTAAATCCTTCCTCTTCAAATATCTCAACTTCTTTCTAACATCTTCCAGCGCCGGTGACAAGCCAATTTTTTGTTGCTTTAATAGGCACTTTATAAATGTCTATTAATATTATTTAATTATTTTTATTATTATTTTTATATTGCTGTTTACAATAAAGAATGTAGATGTATTTAATAAGTTTGATATCTAGTTTAAGCTTATTTTTTTACAAAAACTTACTTGTTTTTGCAACAAGTCCCAGGCATCAGTAAGTCCTCCTTCGTTTGTTCTGTTATAGTTTGACAGACCTGCCATCAAATCTTTAGTCACGTAATCTTCAATATCGCTACGGTAAATGAAACCAACAATACCTGCTGCAAGCTCCAGAATAAAGATAAGGAGCAGGAACAGGAAGAACTAAAAAGAAAAAAATAAAATTATATCAAATTATAAATTGAATAAAAATATGAAAAATGATGTGGTAGGTGGTATAAAAATACAACAAACGCCATGTTTACACGGCCATTTGGTATCAGAATAAGTAACACCGATGACCTCCAGTCGAGCGTCTACACGATAAAAAAAATCGTCGGTTGTACCAGGAAGTCGCGTGCTTAAACTGACCTGAAAAAACGCGCGCAATGCTGCTTGTTTTGGAACCTTTAGTCATAAAAGTTTAAAAAATGTATTTAATTGATAAAAACTTAATTTTTCAAATAATAATAATTGTATTCACGCTACTTATCAACAGAGACTTCCAGTGATGATTCACACAGGTCAAACAACAGTTAATTTGCATAAAATAGTGCCAATGACCTCTGTTAACACCACTGCGATGCGGCGGTAACTCTATGGATCATCGCAGTTACTGACCCGTTGCGGACTTACTAACCACTAAACACCTATATCAAGGGATAAATACAATCATCACAGTGACCTCCTGCCGTGCAATCAAGGCTAAAGTTAAACTGCTTTTTGTTTTTATAAAGCGACTTTTCTTAAGGTTACAAAGTGCTCTGATTTCGCTGGTCATTGAATCAACACGCTTAAGTGTTGCTGCCATATTGGCGCAGTTGAAGACAACCCCGGCAGGTACCTGTTATACTGTACTTCTAGGAGGTGCGAGCAACTCGGATAAAGTGCCTTGCTCAAAGACACAAGCAAAGTTCACAGTGAGGGATTGAAAATTCTAACAACCCACAAAACAGGAGCATTCAGTAACTCATCTGTTATTTACATATTGCCAAATTTGTTTACATACTCTTTGTTATCTGGGCGATTATGGTGAAGCATAACCAGTAGAAATAGAAAGCAAACCAGAAAATTTGATTATCTACATATCTAGCAGTACTTAAGTTAAACTCATCTGTTATTTACATATTGCCAAATTTGTTTACATACTGCATTAAGTAACTCATTTGTTATTTACATATTGCAAAATTTGTTTACATACTGTTTGTTATCTGGTAAAGCATAACCAGTAGAATTAAAAAGTAAACCAGATCATTTGATTATCTACATATCTATGTTAAGCAGTACTTAAGTTAAATAGTGTTTACATTGTAATAATAAATCCTGATAACACACTATAAAAAAAATTGACTTATGTAGCCACTTATAAATAGGGAAGAAATAAATGACGCACAAAGCTCAGATGTTATTCATAGTGTATGTAAAACATATTACATATCACAGTTGTTCACTTAATTTATAAAAGCGATTGCATGAAAGCAATTACTACACAGACAATGGCAGAAGGACAGCTGAAACATGTATGTTTCAATAAATTTTTTTATAATAAAATCAGCTACTGTAGGCTTTGCCTACATTGGTATTGCGCTTTAAAAATAATGTGGTGTTTTTAAGATATAAAAAAATATATATAAATAGTCATGTACATAAACATATATAT